GTTTTGTATTTCATTTATATTGTGTTTCTCATTATCACATTCAGGAGGATGCCTCCATGGTCAACCATCCCAGTGGCTTGGAACTGGAAAGTGGTAAGGACTCCCATAGTCCACTAGAAGAAAATGGGGGAAAAAGTGCAGTGGAGAGTCTGGAGAAATGACCTCACCCAAGACAGTGCAAAGGGTGATCAAGAAACCCTATTTTATAAAGCAGACCATACCTGATTTATTCAATCGAAAGCATGGTAGGGATGAGCATCTATCCCCTTTTACTTTACTCATGTAGTCCACGGGTGAGTATGGTCTAGGATGGGCATATTAATGAAGCAAACATATCACAAGGATAAACCTATACGCGATTTTGTGGAACACCCCATCTCAGCAGTGTGTGTTTAATGGCCATGGAATTATAATTGCTAAGTCATCATGGCCTTGCAGTGTGGCTTTGACTAGTTTAGGTATACTCGGACAGGCACCATTCACCATAGAACGGGATCCATAAAGAAAAGGAGGGACATGCCCCTGAAATATATGAGGTGTATATACTAAAAGGTAACTTACCAGGTCGCAGTCTCACGAAAGAGTAAAGGACGGCAACAGGTGGATGGCGGTGCCCCGACAAGGAAGAAATAGCTCCCCAAAGCAGAGAGTGGGAGATGAACATATGAGGTGTAGTTTCAGGGCTTGACAGACAAAGTACATCTAACGGACAACAGGGTAAACATGCAGGGAAAAAGGAAGGTGCATGATTGGAATAAAGACACCAGGAAGTGATGACGGGAAGAAAGAGACAAGGAATAAAAGGCCAATCGAATCACAATCCAAACCCAACAGGTAAGTGAGGAAGGGAAAAAGAAATCACAGACAAAGAAGTGGAGTAAGGGAAGGAAACCATGTGAAATGGATCCAATGTAAAGAACTTGTAAAAACAATAAAACAATTCAAAGCATGTACTTGACTAAAAAGGTCATCTGGATCCTACCGAGAAAACACGTGGAAGATGGTAATAAACGAAAAAGTCGAAAGAAATATACCACATGAGCCACTAAAATGTAAGTCAATAAAATCGATCCAGAACAAAAGAAACAAATCGTGCAAAACCAGCCAAGAAAATCAGATCAGTGCTAGCCAGGAAAGGTCAATCAGAAAGACCTGAACCGGAGTAACATGGATGAACAAAAATTAGGGAAAGAAGACTGGTGGAATGAGAAAAAAAAATAATGTTATAAACTGGATTTAAAAATGTCTGAACTTAATGACAGCCAAGGCAAGTGGATGATGAACCAGAGACCAAAAACAAGAGATATAATTAACTGGGAAGTGATAAAAGATTTAAAAACTTTACGTGGAGGAGTGCCCCACAAGAGGCAGACCCACCAAAAGTTAGGAGGATCAAGAGGTCACTCCTTTAAAGAAAGTGTGTTGGGACTGGAAAGTCAAATAGCAATGAGGCCAAAAGCACCTGGAACATGACCCTCCAGGAGACATGTGTTAAGTGTGAAGGTTCAAAAAAAAAGGAAATCCACTGTCTACTACACAGGGGGCAAGAATGAGTGCCCCTTGATGAGTGAGATAAGCCATCATTGTCAAAAAATCGACATGAAACATGATTAGTCAAATCCCAACAAGAAGAAGAGAGTGAAGTAAAGCACCTTGGACTGGCAGAAGTGTCAGGGTGTGAAGGTCATAGGACCTTTCATCTGTAGACCATTGTCCTGAAGCCTCCTACTGATCGAACCATACAACCCACCTTTGGAGATGAACATCATGGAAGAGAGGGGAAGGAAGCAGTAAACCCAATGTCATGGGGGATATGTTCAGCTATCAACGCATATAGATGAAGAGGGAAGGACGAAAATTAAGAGGAAAACCCAAAGTAATGGCTAAGATAGCAGAAAAACTCCTTCGAATACATTCAAGGAGTAGAATGGATGGTTCTGGTGGAAATACACACCCCAAAGAGAGTAGAATGTGAGGTATGTAACAAGAAAAACTTATCCAACTGGAAAATCCAACTACCCGAGCTGACTGTGGAAGGAGTAGATGAGTATGTTTTTGAAAGGAGCTAACTGAAGCTAGACTTCCAAGGAATGATGTAAGAAAATTTGCTCCCAAAATGTGAAGTCGGGTAAAACGCAGACTGCCCCACTTAAGACATATGGAACTGAAAGAAGTCAAAAGGTCAAGGCACAAAACTGGTACCAAATCACTTGATGAAAAAACCGTAGATAAAAACGTGTATCATGGGCATTCTCAGTCATGCAGAAACAGCCTACCCAAATGTGATCAAAGACTACATATTAAAATGGGGAGGACCCAAGAAACGATTGAGGTGGTACTGATCGATCCAGAACCCCAATCAGCATTGAGCATACAAGATGAATGAAGAAAACCTGTAGGTACGACAGGTAAAGGACAGGAAGGTGCTGAACATGTAAAATTAAGAAAGATGATAATATCGCAAAATGACACGAAAGAGCAACTAAATAAAATTGAATATAGCATCATAGATACTCCACGTGACACTAAATGTACAAGAAACGGACCAGTGGAGAAAAAGAACTGATCGTAAGTCTTTATTAGGAGAGGGTGGTGAACAAACAGCAGTGTCATACCCCTGAATATCCCAAAAGCAAAGAAGCCACGTGTGGAGGGAAAGAACTGAAGATGGCAAACACCCTAACATGAAGGGAAGAAGGAAGAGGTATTCCAAGAAATCCATAAATATAAATGGTATACCAAAAAAAGGTGGTGGAAGGTAAACATCACCTATAGGAGAG